CAGCTCCCTTTAATTAGAATAAAGTTTCAGATTTTGTCCGTACGTTGTGTTAGGTCTGAATTCGAATGGAGTAATTATTAGTTGAATACAGAAATAAAAAATTATGTTTTGATTAGGTTTATTTTACTTTTACGAAATTTCTAAATTTTAATTTAATAAGTAAAAACTAATTACAGTTTACTTGTTTAATACAAACTAATTACAGTTTACTTGTTTAATACATAATTGGATTAAATAGACGAACAATAGAATTAAATTTTCTCTTAGATAGGAAGTAAATAAATTTTATATTTGATTGACTCTTAAATTTGTTCAGTTTACTACTTTTGTAATTACGCCACTTATAAAATTCTCCCACTTTCTTAATTAAAAGACTCAACCCCATATTAGTATATATCAATAACAGCATCCGTTGACTTTACCAAGTCTTTTATTTTGTTAGAAGGGGAATCGGTCATTTTCATTCTTTTCGTCTTAATATTCTTCTTTAACCGCAGGAAGAGACTAATGTACTCTGTAATAATTTTTTTTTAAAAAAAAAAAATTGTAAAAAATTAACAGGCTTGTTATTTAGTGTATTAGTTTAACACAATGAACCAACTGCTTCAAGTAAAAAGTTGTGAACTAATTTGACAAGAACAAGAAAAATTTGAGATAATAACCCAAAAAATTCGCTTATCAGATATATCAGTACGTAATTTTGAACACTTCAGACTTCAAGCTTAAACTGGAATAGGAAATTAGTTAATCAAACAGAGTGGAAGCCGTTCTATATTCATGACCACATTCTCCCGAGTTAAGCTAAGAATATGCAGCATTTATTTTGTAATTGTTCTTTATTGGATTTATATACTGAGTATTTACTTTGAAAGAGTCATCTAAAGTCGACCAATACAAAGAGGCACATTCTTAGATTCAACTGTCTGAAAGAAAAATCTCTATACAAAAACATGCAAAGACAAGAACCAACATTGTTTACAGTAAAAACAAGGAAAAAACAAAGAAAAAACTCTTCACCCTTACCAGTTCTAACATAAAGCTGGCAACCATGTATTTATCTTTTATCACCTAGTGAGATAGTATACTATTAGGAAAATGACAACAAATGATGCCACAAGTGTAAACATTCTCCTGCTTGATTTGGTCTCGAACACCTAAGTTAACAAGTCAAACTCGGCTCATTAATACAGCCACAGAATGTAGATCTCCACTACCGCTTACATGGGCCATGCACACACACACACACACAAACCCACGCAGACACACAATGGACTTACTAGAAAGAGGAAAAAGAAAGAGAACTAGCAGAGAGCTGAAAATTCGAACTTTTGTAAATCAGTTAGTTCCATACCATTTTGAATTTGTCCATAGTCCCCGAGAGAATTCCCCTTGATGAATCCATATCATTGCCCTAGACAAAAACCAAGCTATGGATGTTAACAACTGACTGCATTAGTCAAAATAACACAACAGAATAAGAGACTTCTTTCAAAGCAGTTCACATACCATTCGGTCAAGCATGCGGTTATGGGTCTCCACTTCCTCATGTACGTCACCTGACAGCTATTTACAGTGATGCTAGTCAGAATTCCATTGAGGCACATAAAAACGTATAGAGCTAGAGACATAAAGGCACATGATTAACATTATGCTTCTGATCCAAATTGTATCCTATGATGATTTGAAATTTGTTAATTTAGGAGAACTGCGATTGACTTAAAACTGAAGTCCATTAAAGTGATTTTATCTTCTCAGTTTCATTTGGAGAGCCAAATCAAATAACGGTAAACCATCAACCAAATAACAAAGACCATTAAGTATATAGGTGTATATATAATGGATTTCTCTTAAGTAAACAACCCGCCTTCCCCCCATCCGCCAGGCCCAAGTAAGAAATATATATTTAATAAAGCAATGCCCCCTCAGAACTCTCCCCCCTCTGCCCCCCCTCCTCTCTCTTCCCCCTTCCCCACCCCAAAACAAAAGGAAATGTAACTCTCTTTCTTTATAATTAGAACTATATATACCATGTTAGAACATAAAAGATTAATCTTTTTACTGATTTTATATTTTTAATATAATTTTTTATTAAAATATATAATATAGAAATAAAAACTTTCTCAGATTTCTTATTATTTTTTATTTTTTTCACACAATTGTTTTTGGGTATAAGAAAAGATATTAATAAAGATTATAGAAAGGACAAAGCCGAGGACAAATGAGAAACCGAAAACCATAAGAAACACAAAAATCAATACAAAATACCTCACAATCACTTTGTACAATGGATAAAGAAATGTCTCCAGAAGAATTGTGTCTTAGCCCAAAGCAAGGCCAGAAAGAAGTCATTTTTTCCCACAAACTTGAGGAGGAATATACCGGCGTTTGAGAAAAATCGGTTTCCACACAACTTTTTATTAATAAAGTTATTTTTAAGGTACTTCCTTAACTTGCACTTTTACCAAGTGCAGAAGCACAAGCCTTTTAAAATTGATTTCATGGCCTCCATTTCCTAAGTGTTAATTGCAACAGCAGCACAGAAAAGCAACATATCAACACTAGATTTCACACAAGGAATCAAGTACCGGTGATTAGCTTATGGAATAATTCTAGTTTTAATAGTCAATTCCGCAGGAGATCATCATAGGGTTTTGGTTCCATGTGGGAATAAATCTAATGCTTATCACAAGACTTCCAAGTAAGAAATTACTTAGAAAGGGAGTACTTACTCTCTTTAGCAGATTGACTCTATCTTGCAGTCCTTCCATTGCTCGTTCGTTATCATGCTCATCAATTTCATGAGAGTAAGAAGATGCAGCCCTAATACCACCCTCCTCAATTCCATCAAAAAGAGCAACTCTGCTGTTACGCGTATCCCTGCAGAAAAAAGCAAAAAAGGTTCTTACATAGTTCTATTTCTTTCTTTCAGGTGAGATGTGTGCATCTTGATAGGAAAAGCAACAAGTAAACGAAGAACAGGAAATTGTAAAAATAAGAGGTTGATCTAAAAACTCCAAATAAAGACACCAAAAGACAGCAGAAACATTAGTAATCAGAATGCATTTGGCTATTTCTCAGTACCAACATTATGTCATGTTCGGTTTAAGGTAAACATGTACCAAGCAACTGCTAGAACCAGAATAAATATGCTATATGGAAAAATGTAATGACTCCATATTCAGATCAACGAAGCTTAGATTCTCAGGCGCGAAGGTACAGCAACCTCCCAGTTTTGGAGCCCAGTAATTTAGACCTGTTATGGCAATTAGGGAATATGAACCCCAGATATGAGGCTCACCCATCCTATTGGATGTGGAGATTTCATTATTGAAGATAAACTGCTTGATAGTTGCGTGAAAGTCACTAATGAAAACAGGATGAAAAACAAAGACTTCTCCCTGAGCAACACAGAAAGCAGTTATTTGGAGACTTCAATGGTTTAAAAGAGATTTGTGACATGATGGGTGCGACTGTGGGAAAAGATAATGCAGCCAATGGAGCTCTAAGTAAGATCCAACCTGTTAAACATGTTGACTGGATCTGGTTTGCTTTTCTTTTGAATGCTGGAATCTTATCTTGTAAATCAGTAGTTATAGAGTACCAATTATATCTTGATTTCTTTCTATCAATCCCTTCCTATAAAAGGTATCTAGTCAGTCCTGCTTAATAATTAAGTGAAATCTATTCTCAAGAAATATTCTTCATTGCTGTAGCCAGTAGCAGTCAGCAGTAGATAAGCAACTCTTGTTTGATGGGGACGACAAACCCTGGAGTTCTTGTACGGTAGCCAAGAACTGGTGCATATTCTATGGAGAATTTAGGAAACCTTATTGATACTTTGGTAGATATGTAAATATTTTATATATAGGTTGACACCCTCTCGGTGCCCGTTATTAACAACACTTTAAACTTTTTACTTCAAAAAAGGAAAGGTGCATATTGCTTCAAACCCAGTTTTTATTAGACTACATACATTGAATTTGATTTTCATTTCATTGAGAAATGTTTCTACAAAATATCATTTCGACCACATGTCAAATCAGCTGACCAAGTAGATGATATGCACACAAAATCCATAGTAGAAGCTTGTGTTAAGTACATCTGTGACAATGTAGGTGCATATTGTATATATGCTCCAGTTTGAGGCAGAGTGTCAAAGTATAGTATATTTTCCAATATAATTATTTTCTAGTAGCTTTCTTATATAGTTCATTTACCTGCTCATAATTTCTTTTCTTTGCATATTGATCCCTATAATTACCTATGTATATTTTCTCTATAAACACATAAAAAGGTTTCAAAATTTTCTGGAACAAAATATCATTTAAAACAAATAACACATAAAAGTTATTTTAAAGTAAAACATGTTAAAGCAAATTAGTCCAACCCTCCATTTTCATAACTCTCGGAATTGTAGGAAAAAATTATCCAAAATATCACAAGCCAATTGATTGAATGTACATCCAAAATGATTCACCGTAAAACCAAAGCACTAAAGCAGTCTAATCAGCCACCAAAAATAGGAAAATAACAACTTTTTTGGGAAAAAAATATTTTCCTAAATTTGCAATCAGCACAGTTACCATCAATAAAACTTGAAGTACCAAATACAAGCAAGTAGTACATGAAAAAAATTAATTAATGATTAAGGTAGGCCAATTTGTTAAGTTGAATCGATAAATCGATAACACGGCGAGTTATCCATCAAATAAGTATGGTACAAAGTAAGCTTCAGAAACCGCCTAATCTGATTTGTCACTGCTCCATGATTAAAGCAATGGCGAGATGTGTAACAGAATGAAAAGAAGATAAAATATTAATTCACGAACTTCCAACACTAAAGGAACAAAAAAAACGGTTTGAAAGAAATCCGATTGCAGACAGATGCTCATTCTACCACAGCGAATGCCACTAGTTCACGGACAGATCTAGGCAGGTCCTAAAACAATATATGAATAGTTATGGCCTCCAAGCGCTCGCAGGCATATAATAAAAACTGGTTGTAAAATAAATCAAAACTCACAGGAGAAAGCCAAAATTAGGATTCTGAAACAACAAACCTTCTGGAATTCATGGCTTAAAGATGATACAGGCCTCTTTGAGTACTAATATCAGCTTCTCGAAACCCTACAAATATTCACTATCCGAACAGTTCAACAAAATTAGCAAAAGACGATCGTATAATACTTGATCTGCTAAATGACGGAAAAAATCACAGATCTAAATCCCTAGCGATTAAGTTGTTAGTTACATGAAAACTATGGCGAATAACTACTAGAACAAAACCTTAAAAGAAAATCCAAGAGAGAAATCGATTAGACGAGAGAAAAATTGAGAAGGACTTTGAAAAAGGAGAGGAACAGAAAGAGCCCGTTACCCGGAGAGGGAAGCTGAAAATTTTCCTTCGATAATAGCAGACAGAGAAGGAGATTCCAGAAGTTTCACTGAGCCACTTGTTTATATACGTCCCCTAATATGGGCCATTTATGGATTTAAAGGTTCAAAAGTTATTTAATAATAAAATATTAAATATTTTAATTATTTTTAAAAAAATAATTCATTTATTGATAAACCTATTAACAAATTATTACTATTTTTACTTTTAATGTTATTTTATTAATTTTATTAAATAAATTATTCGCTAGGAAATAACATAATAATTTATTAAATTAATATCTTAAAAGTACTTTATAATAAAAAATTATAAGCAGATTAGTAAATATATATCCATAATAAAATAAAATAGAATGGTATTTTTATATGTATTCTAAGAATATTTTTTATTAAATTTATTTAAAAAAAAAAAAAAAAAATTCAACTTTCTCTGAGAAACCAGAAGAATAAACTAGCGGGTCGACTTTAGCAAGAATCGGATTCGCTTGCCGGAGCCCTAAAGCCGTTTCTTGCAGGGGTTTGGTGACGCGATCAGCCCCTATCAACGTCAACATCTCACGGTCATGGGTGTCCTGAGCGACGAATCCGGTTCTGAATCCCGATCATTGGCAAATAATGGCAGTAACAACAACATGGAGAAATTTCTATGCGAACGGTTGCTCGACTCGACTCAACCCATCTCGGAGCGGTTCAGAGCACTGTTCTCTCTCCGTAACCTGAAAGGCTCTGCTCCTCGCGATGCCCTTGTTCTTGGTTTGTCCTTTATTTCTTTTCTTTACGATTTTCGTTGGAGACATTTGGACTTACACTTAAGTTGTTTTGAATCGCTTAATTAGACTGTTTATAGCTTTTGATAAAGTCTCAATTGCTTTCTGCTATTGTATGCTTGTAGCATATGTAAGCTTCATACTCTTCTTTATCAAAAGTATTCTTCTGTTACTTGTTTTTTAATACATTATAGAGGATTGGGTGTTGGGATTGTAGATTTTTTCTTAGAATCTGGCATTTTCTACTTGTTGGTTAAACCAGAGAAGCGACTTACAGTACTATAAGAACTTTCTGACCTCGTGGTTAAAGTGCTCTTTTTAGATGTATTATTATCACCATTTTATCCTTTTATATTTCTCCCTTTTATCAAAAAACAAGGAAGTGCTTATTTTTATGATAAATACTTCTATCCAGATATAAATCTTCATTTTCTAAACTCAACGCCAAGTGATACTGGGGCACATGTTTTTGCCAAATCTCAATCACCTCTCTATGTTTAAACAATGACTTAGAATGTCAATGTCTAAATTCCGGCGATTATGTGTTCTAATAGCTACTACTATTATACACGCTCTAGTAATCTACATTATCAGATGCTTATCATGGTGCGATACAAATAGACTTTTGAGTCAAATACTAGTTAAAGGAGGCCAATATCTTTCAAAATCGGTCAATACCAGTTAATACTAGTCAATACCGGTCGATTTAGTTTAGTGTTTATTGCATGTCTTTCTGCTTGTGGACTCTCGAAAGTTTTTTGGTTTAGAGACAAGAATAAACAGCAATAGTATCTTGTTTGATTTTCAAATCTGAACATAGGGTCAAAAAAGGGATTCTGTGCTGTATCAAATTATCAATGAATTGTAGTGTGTAGCACTGAAAAAAGAAAATTGTAATATGCTCTATGTGAAGAATATTTCAATGATCATGTTGGCTTTATTGCATTACCAATATGGATTTTCCTTTTTCCTTTCTCTTGTAGCTACTAGGGATACTTCAAATTTGTTAGCACATGAAGCTGCATTTGCATTAGGTCAGATGCAAGATGCTGAAGCAATCCCTGCTTTGGAGGCAGTGCTTAATGATCTTTCACTGCATCCTATTGTTCGTCATGAGGTGAATTAATGTATTTATTATATTCCTTTTCTTTTTTCTAATCTTCTCCCCAATTTATATCATGCATGATTACATTTCTTCTGTCTATCACTTCTTTGTTTATGACGTTATGAAGTGCTTTTCGTATTACTGTGATTACAAGCAATTATTTGCACAGGCAGCAGAAGCTCTAGGGGCTATTGGTTTGGAGAGTAATATTCCCCTTTTAAAGAACAGCTTGGTTCAAGATCCAGCTCAGGAGGTTCGAGAAACATGTGCTCTGGCTCTCGAACGAATTGAGCAATTGAGTGCTGTTGCCCCTGACAATGAAGCAGCTCTGACAGATAAGTCACCCTTTATGTCTGTTGATCCAGCTGCACCAGCGTCGTCTTGTTCTTCTGTTGAGAAGTTGAGGTTTGTTTAGTTATTAATGTTGGTTACTATTTTTTGCATTTAAAGTGGATTTCTCACTTATTGACTAATTATGACTAACTTTAAGGGAAGTTCTTCTTGATGAAGAAAAAGGCATGTATGAGCGGTATGCAGCACTTTTTGCACTTCGAAACCATGGTGGAGAGGAAGCTATTTTGGCCATTGTTGATTCTTTGGGGGCTAAAAGTGCTCTACTACGACATGAGGTTTCTAAGTTTCTTTAATCTAATAGTTTGGAGTTTCTAATAATACTGTCAATGCCATCAATATATGTCAGGAACATGCTAATTGTTAGTCATCTGAGTTCTGACATGGTTTTTACATCTGGCTTTTTTTATTACCTCAAGCAATTATTGTGTTGATGTCACTGGAACTAAGAAAGAATTCGATTTCCCTATTACATCATGATTGTGGTTGCTCTAATTAAATTTCCAATCATACCTGAGCTTTCCACATATCCTATCCTTTCCACTAGTTGGAATTTAAGTGTTCCTGGTACTGCTGGAAATTTTTAGGTTGCTTATGTTCTGGGTCAATTGCAAAATAAAGCTGCTTCAGCTACTTTAAGCAAGATACTCAGGGATGTGAAAGAGCATCCAATGGTTAGACATGAGGCTGCTGAAGCTCTTGGTTCCATTGCAGGTATGATCATTTATTTTATTGTCCTACACCTCTTTCGGTATTTAATTTAAAAGACAGGTACTTCCATGTGTTGAAGTAAACACCTTTTTCTAGGTCAAATAGCATTGTCAATGTGTTCAACATAATTCATGTGTTAAGGTAGCGGGATTCCTGATGAGTAGTTAACTTGATAAAAAAAAAATTGAGGATATGAATAATAGAGTAGTTTAGGTTTGTAATTATTATTGGACAACTGTCTTTCCCTTGATATAATTGTTTATGTAACTTAATATTCCAGCAACGAAGAATGGGTAGATCTCTTATTGTCGGGGCATAATAGGAGAAGTGATGTGGTCAAGTTGCAATGCTGGAGCAATTTCTCAGTAGTTATGGAAGGAGAGACTATTAAAATAAAATGTTTTTGTGATCAAACCGCAGAATCTAGCGTTAAGTGGTTGATTTAGACGAGTAGAAAGTTTTATAGAATCATCATTTTCTCAATGTAAGCCTGTTAGAAGCCTAAAAGAATGCTGTCTCACAAAACGAAAAAAAAGAAGTGTAAAAGATCTCTACAAATTCCTAGTTAAGAAGAGGCAAGCACTCTGGGAGCTGAGATCCTTGTTGCACCATCTCCTTGCTGTTTTTTTTTTTTTTTTTATTTAATACAAAATTTGGAATGTTCAGATGAAGAAAGTATAGCACTTCTGGAGGAATTTGCTAGGGATCCTGAGCCCCTTGTTTCACAGAGCTGTGAAGTAGCTCTAAGCATGCTGGAATTTGAAAGACAGGGGAAATCATTTGAGGTATGCATATCAAAGTTAAAATTTTCTATAAACTGTTATTTGGTAAATATTCGTAATTGAATAATTGATAGTGATAATCTGTATGTGCAGTACCTTTTCATGCAAGATCCACTGGCCAGTTTTTGAAGAATAAGTTCCGGGATCAAGCTGAATATATTTATTTACTTATATTGAGAAATGAAATAGGATAGGATAGAATTATAGGTCATCAGAACCCGTGTGTTACTTTCTCCTTGAAGGAATGTAATTACACATGGCTGAATGAATAGCTGATTATCACGACATACATTTTTCGTATCGGCAGAAAAAAAATAGATCCAACTGTCAACTACTACTTATCCTGATGGGTTCACTTACTAGCATCACTTTTGGTATGTATCAAGATTTACGTACTACCGTCATTTTGATATGTTGATCTACCCTTTTCTTCTCTTCTTTTCACTGAACACATGTTCATCTCTCTTTCATCAGGGAGAGTTTCGGGTGTGTCTGCCTTCGAGCAGAAAAAGAAAGAATATTAGATTCAAAGAGAAATCATAAGAAGCTTGAAGCTAACAGTTCGAGTTTTAAGTTCAAAATCTAATGAAACTATGAAAACCCAGACATATTCCATTGACTTGAGGGCAACCGCAGAAACATAGTCATAGTTTCAAGGTCAGGAGTACTTAAACCCTAGTTGATTAAACTTGGAGGTAATATTTCCTCGGATTGAAATATAGCCTCTAATTGAGGAATTCATCTCTAGGGTGTAGGCTTATATATATGCGTGTGTGTGTGTGTGTGTATATATACATATGAATTACCAACTACAGGTGAAAAGGGTACAGAAGCTTTAGATATACCATGAACTATTGATGAATAAAAACTTATTTTATGAAGCAAACACTGCTGAAGTGTCTTACCCCAAGAAAAGTGACTGAAGTGTCTATATTTACTCATTGGTTTGCCATTATATGCACATAATATATATATATATATGTATATGTGTGTGTGTGTATACACACGCATGTGTATGTATATATGTATAGGTATATGAAGTGCTGTCATCTGTAAGGATAATTTATTGGAGCAGTAGTTGGAATTTAGAAGTGGGTGAATGAACTTCGTTGACCCTGAACCAGTCAAGCCCAACCTTGGACACCTAACAAAATTGCTAAGCAAGCTAATTAATGTCAAACCCTTAACAACTATTCACTAGTTATTATGTTTTCGATCAAATGAAAATCATTTATGAAATTTATTTGGAAATTCAAAATGTAGTTACTTCCCTTGGAAATATATGATAACTATATTATATATATATATATATATGATATTTAGGTAGGTTGTATAGTAATTAAATAATTATAAAAACTTAGATTATTCAATTATAACCCATTAGCTTCTAAAAGAAGATTTGCTTATTTTCTTTTTGTTTTATTTTGTCAATAATTATAAAATTGTTCATGTGTATATATATATATATATATATATATTATGTCTATGTGGTGTAAAAAATTATGACTTCAAATATTTATTATGTTTTTTTTTTTAACATCTTTTAATGTTAACAATCATATGTTCATAATCATTCAATTAATACTAATTAATTCCATATTATACTAATATCTTATATAAATTTTTTAAAAAATAACAATTGGAAAAAAACAAACCACTAAATACATATCCTAATTATTATGGTAATCCATGTGATTTGAATATTAAAGAAATTACATTATTGGTTTAAATACACAAAATTAACTGTTAATTTTTTATATGATCATGAGATAATTTTCTTTAATAATTTTCCAAATCGAGATACACAAATTTAAGTTTTTTGAGAAAATTAAATTTCAAAAAATTCTACTTATTATATGATTTTTTTATATTCAAATTGGATTACCTAGATACATATTTACATGTCAAGATGATATTTCAATTTATTTTATTTTATTTTAAAATTCATAATTTTTAGTAACGTTTTAAATTTTTACACGTTTAATTTTTACACGTTTAATACTGTCAACGAATCTATTAGAAAACTAGTAAATAATTATTTTTGTAATTATTTTAATTTGTCACGTAATATATATATTTAAATTATTTTAATTAGGTATTAATATAAAATAAAAAATTAAATTAAGTTTAAGAATTAATATTGTTATTCTTCGTTTATATTATTTGTTTAAAAGTAATTATTATTCTTTTATCATTTTAATAAAATTAATAATTTAAAAATTATATATTTTACTAAATTAATTTTTTAATCTGTATCAGAAGTTATTTAATAGCTCCGTTACTTTCTCCCAAGCCACTGGTACGATCGAGTGACTTCCCGTAGAACTGCGTTCTTAGAGGTCGAATCCTTTGTAACTTCCTCTGAACATCACTGTTCATCTTATACATTTGATTGACGATGGCGATGGCGAACCCTCCAAAGCCATGGAAGGCAGAGTATGCTAAGTCTGCAAGATCCTCATGCAGGACCTGCAAGTCACCTATTAACAAAGAAGGTTTCAGGCTCGGCAAAATGGTTCAATCTACTCAGTTTGATGGCTTCATGCCTGTAATCAACCTTCTCCATCTCTCTAACTATCTGTATTTCGATCCCCCCTCTTCATTTTCTACTCATTCTTCGCATTCTTCTTTCTACGCAATTTTTGAAAAATAACAAAATTTTTATTACTGTTGCTCTTGGGGTTTTATGTTATTTCTTTCGAATGCATCTCATCATCAAGTTTTGTTGCTTGTAATTACCATTAGGTTCAGCTTCCTTTCTCGTTGATCATGCAGTCCTCTTGTGTTTATGTTTTTTTTTTTTTTGGTTTAATGTATTGTAATCATTGATTGTGTTGCATGAAATGTAGGTTTGGGCTTCAACTGTTCTTTTTAGTTGAGGTTAACATTCTATCAATGCGAGAATGCCTTCTTCTACTTCTTAAAAAGGCGACTACTTATGTTTAGTGTTTCAGGGGTCTGGGAAGTTTTTGGATTTCCCTTGTACTTATCTTCTCTAAAGCTCTTTTTGAGTTTCTTATGTACAATGTATTTAAATTTTAATCAACTCATCCAATTTCGCATTATACAATTAGAAACCTAGTATGAGGAACAACATCTCTTCTGATGCTTTTTTACGGAAAGTCATTTTCATTATGGATATGAATAATTGTTTGCTACCAGGTTCTTCTGAATGTACACTGTGCTGGGATTCCATGCAATGAAGTATTTTGATCCCTCTTATAGCTATATTGATGGGAATATCACCATGTTGCAGAAATTGCAGAGTAGAAAAAGAATTCGAGTAAAATCCATCATAATCAGTTTTGGGCACTCTATACTTTTAGTTAAAGCTTTGATTACAAGAACGATAGTAAAATACTCACTTGTAGACTTAATCTTTCATTCTCTTACATTACTACTGGCTCTATGTTTTCCACACTTGCACATTCATATGCTTTGTTAGTCAAACACGTGGAAATCCTTGTACATCTTATCCTGTAAGGTAGGGGATGGAAATATGAAGTTAAAATTAGTTAAGCATGACCTGAAGAGTCCAATTGCTTTTTGGTCGATCCTCTAGTGCTTGGAGTTGTAATTCTTATTTTTCTTTATGTGTAAATATGGGAATATAAAATTGTTGACTATCATGACATGGTGTGGGAACCCTTTTCTTTTTGGCTTTTTTTTTGGGTATTGTGTTTGAGTTCTGGGATTGATGCTTTATTCCTGTTCTTATTGCTGATTCTTTTTTTTTTTTTTTTGAGATAAATTCTTATTGCTGATTCCATGTTGGTTTTTTTGTGTCTTCATTGCGTAAGTTAATTTCCTTTCAAAAAAAAAAAAAAAACAAAAAGGAGGAAAATTGAGAGTACCTGACTTTGATTTGTTTCCTGAACTAGATGTGGCACCATGCTAATTGCATACTGAAGAAAGCAAAACAAATAAAATCGTAAGTGGCTGCATTCACTTTTCTTTCTCCTAAAAAATTGTAGGTAATTGGATGGATACATTGATTGGCTCTAAAATCTTTTTGTCATGCTTCTAGAATTGATGATGTTGAAGGCTTAGAATCTCTTCGCTGGGAGGATCAGCAGAAAATTAGAAAATATGTGGAAGGTGGTGGAACTACCAATAATGATAATGCTGTCACTAAAATGGAATTCAGTATTGAAGTTTCGCAAACGTCTCGTGCTACTTGCAGGCGTTGCAACCAAAAGATTACGAAAGGAGAGGTACTTTTCTGTGATTAAATACCATGAATCTTTTTATCGTCCTTGGTTTCCCAAAATCTCAAGGTTCAATAGTTTCATCTTCTTAGAACATATAATGAGGCTTGAATGTTGATGAGTGAGGGAAAATCATTTCATTGAAAGCTAGACTAAGGAGTATAAGGGTATGCTTAATATATAAACATATTTTTTAGTGATAAAAGCATCCATGGTGGCGTGTGTTTGTGGTGTAAAATGAAGATAGTACTGAAATTATGGTAAAAATGAAAATAAAGAATAAAAGATTGGGAGGAAAATTTCTCTTGAAGAATTTCTCCTATTACAATTTGATAATTCGTGTTGGGATCTAGCTCCTTAATGGTTTCAAAATTTTTGGTGACGACACCCAAGTTTCTCTAAGGTGAAAGAATGATGGGAAGGATTTTCTAAAGAGGGCTCGGAAAGATAAAAATTCATTAGGAGTCCCAAATTCATAGAGAAATTGAAGTATGGGATACGGAGGTGTTTGATAATATTGGGACCAAAAAGCAAGATTTTCTTAATGAGAAGAGCCTTTTGGATAGATTGGATTTCAAGAATTGTCTCATGGAGTGGAGGGATTGGATTCAATTTCTAGTGGTCTAGAGGATATTCTTTTTAGGGAGGAAACTAGTTGGAGACAAAAATAAGGGTGGAATGGGCTAAGATGGGAGACACCAATAGTAGTTTTCTTTTGCAACCTAGTTAGTGGGAGAAGGCACAAGAGCTTCATTAAGCAGTTGGAACTCAAGGATGGTAGGGTGGTTAGGGATTCTTCCTCTATTAAGACTGAGATCATTAGATTCTGTTAGAGATTATTGTTTTAATCATAATTGTATAGGAGATTATACCAAGAGGAGATACTAAAAGACCTTTCCTTGACGGCTAGAATGGACTCCTATGATGATGCTAGAGCTAGATAGTCAGAGAGACCTTTTGAGGAAGAGGAGATTAAGAGGATTATTTAGGACTTGGGTAATGATAAATCACAGGGTCTAGACGGTTTTCAATAACTTTTTTTTTCGTAATTATTGGGAGGTTGTTAAAAGGGATTTACTCAAGGTTCTTTTAGAGACTCTATCTGAATGGGGGGATGGAGAATAGGATGAATTCTATCTTCGTATTACTGTTATATCACAGGACTGCGTTTGGGCTATTTAATGGGAGGTCTTCCCTCTAGCTATTTTCTCATTGTTCCGTGCTTGCCAAGGTACAAGCAGTGGAGATGGAATTCAGATCCTGGGATCACTTTTTAGGAATCTAAATGGTCAGCATTCAAGCTCAAGCAGTAATGAAGACTGCTACAGTGCCCATCATTGCAAAGTACACTGTCAATAAGGGACAAGGTACTTCGAGACCTCCATCCTATTAAACAGTTGTCATTGAGTTGAGGCATTACCAGAAGATAGCTCCTAGATTCTTTGATCCTTTTGAGACCAAGGAACAAATAGGAATGGTGGGCTATCTCTAGGAGTTACAGGACAGTGCATTCGTCAAGTTTTCTATGTCTCATTTTTCAAAAAACTCGACAATGATGGATAATTGCAGCCTTCTCTATAACCGGTCACTTAGTGCAAGGTGTAGCCAGTACCAAAAGCAATTCTAAGCTGATGGCAGTTGCTAAAAGCCACAAGTTACTCAACCATTGGAAGGGTCACTCCAAGTGAATGCATCTTGGGAAGTAATGCAGGGAATACTAGCACAATGTCCCACTTTGACTGGTGTGCGTATACAAATGTTATGGCCATTGTTGCTAATAACTGATTTTGAGAAGTCTTACAATCAGCAATGGGAATCTGCTTTCTAGTTGGTTTCCAAGACTTCATCCGAGTTGGAGGAGTTTAGAGTATCTTAAGAAATTTGGTTTAGGATTTTGCATTGGGATGCATTTAATTTATTGCTAAACTAGGAGTTGGTTTAGGAGTTGCCTTGCTATGGGTCTAAACTTTGATTAACTTCACTATAGATAGTTTATTGTGATGAAAAAGCTTATAAGCTATTTCATTAAAATTTAGAATTCACTCTCTGAAATGTGAATGGTTCTCTTTGACAAGCCTCACTAGAGGTTGGAATGGCAAAATTCAGGAAACAAGCAGTTAGCTTGTTTCGAGATTTTACTGTTTTTGGCCCTTAGGATAGATTACAAACCTGAGACGGTGATGTTGCAATTCTTTGGAAGATGTGTCCAAGCTTTCAACTTCTTCAAATATAGAAGAAGACAGATTATGGAGGCAAATTGTATGCTCCCGGTGGGGAGAACACATGGTAAAAAACCATGGCAGGAGAATCTATGCTCCTCATGGGAGAGGTTAGCGGAGCAAAATATTAATGCAATGGCCTAGATTCCAGCAATGTATCAAGTGGAACCTTGGCTGAGGCAATATGATCAGTTTTTGGGTGGATGATTGGTTAGGTGAGGGTAATCTTATGGGAAGATATTCCAGGATATACGCTATTGCCAAAATAAGAATATGACTGTTAAGGATGCCTACTGAGTCACTAAGGAGAAAGATGTTTGGTCGGTTCATGTTTCTAGAAACTTGAATGACTGAGAGATTAGTGAATATGAAGATTTATTGAAGATTCTTGAGACACAGCAGTTGAAAACAAGCAATGATCAGGCTGTGTGGAAACTGGAAAAGAAAGGGGATTTTTCTGTTTCTTCTTATTACAGGTTTTTGTGTGCTTGGGATGGCAATGTCTGTCTAGATTTCCCGGCTGCACAAATTTGGAAGACCAAGACTCCTCCATGTATAGCTTTTTTCGCTTGGGAGGCATATTGGAGAAGATTTTAACGATTGATTAAGTCAGAGTTAGAGGACAGATTTTGGTTAATGGCTGCTACGGTTGTCTTCAGGTGAAGGAAACATGTAATCACTTACTGTGGTAGTGTCCTATGGCTTAAAATCTTTGGTGTATGGTGTATGGTCTCTTGGGGATTGAGTGGGTGATGGCTGGGTCGGTGGGTATGGAAATTTGGGTTTGAGATGGTTTATATGTAAAAAATAATATTGCTAATCTAATTCCGTTAACTGTTTTTTGGGTTTTTTGGAAAGAAAGAAATTTTAGAGCTTCTGATGATGTCAAGAGTAGTGTGTACAAAATAAGAGATAGGCAGATTCACTATTTTGGGTTTATTTTGCTAGGTCATAATATATTTGGTGATGAGAACTTTGAGAATGTTATAGATACTCTAACACTATTGTAAATTCTTTGTACATGGGTGATACCCCCATTTGGCACCATGTTAATGTATACAACATACTTTTTATTTAAAAAAAAAACTTCTTTAAATATAGAAATTGCTATACTGCATTCTTTTCTAGGAGGATATTTGAACTGATAATGTCTTTTTGGCTACTTGCTTTTGCCATCTGATTAGTTTTTCTTAGAGCCATTATATTTCTATCTCATCTTTTTTATGACTCTATGTAGTTGAACATATATTTTCATATGTTTTTAAAAATTATAATGATTATCAAGCTGTTGATACAAGTTCTTTAATTCAGGTCCTCATTTTTGTTGTTTTCTCTATTGG